AAAAAGAAAAACACATCTACACAGATGGAAAGAAGAGGGGGGGAAAGTCCAAGAGACTGATGGAAGCCACCTTAGGCCTCTAGGGGGCTAGCCAACCCCATTTCTGACAACCTCCCTCCCCGCCCCAATCGCAGAGCCAGGTCTTCAAATCCCTCCAAAAGGCTGGGAGTGAGGGGGGCTCTCTCACCTCCAGGGGCAAGATGTTCCAAAGGGCGGGGGCTAACTGCTGGTTCACTGTGGCTGGTGCAATTTTCTTCCTGCCATGCTTAAAGGGAGTTCTTCTCCGTCACAGTATTCAGTGTTTCTCAATCTCAGCAATGTGTGGGCTCCAACTCCCAGAATTCCCCAGCCAGCAAGAAGAAAACAGGGCACGGTCCCAGCAAAGGCTCTAGCAATGCCCTTGCAGAGGGCCTCTTCTGAATCTGGTGGGGGCAATTTCCAGAACAGTATACCAAGTTTTGAAGGCCCTTCCTTTGAAACTCAAGCGTCTCACCCCAGAAGGCTGGCTTGCTTCTCTCTCATTTCCTCCCTGAACTGGGAGGAAGAGAGCGGCTTTCTACTCACACAGCTGAACTGGGTCTTTGGCAAAGACCAAGGGAAGGAACCGTCACTGTCCTTCCCTAGACATGGGAGCAGAATGAGGCTGTTCGTGGTGGAAATTCAGGGGCCAATCTAAGCACCCCCAGCCTGGAGACCCTTCAAAATTAATTTTACCAGGATCTTAAAAAAAAAATTAAAAAAATATATAAATCAGCACACCCTTCCTCTATCCTCTCTGCTGGAGACATTTTACACAACCCCAATACTCAACCGAAGGGGAGAAATGCAACACCCCTACAGACCCCTCTATTACTTTTAAGACTGCAATTTGTATTTCAGCATCTTCATCGGATGTGCTTAGCTGTGAGACAGAAGTTACGAAACAGGTATGGTTCACTCCAGGGGCTTTTGTGGTATAAGCTATTTCTCTGGAATTTTTTTTTTTTTTTTACTATGGAAAAATACAGAAGGAAACCCTTCTGTACCACTGTAGAATGCTTTCTATTTGCCAGTGAAAATTTACACTTGCGCACAGACTGCTGGGGTTAGGGATAACTAATTTCTCTGTTTCAAATCTTCATAATTCTAAAAAAGAAAATCTTCATTAAGATTTTGCAGCAGCCAAATGTCACAGGTCATTGAGCAATTGCTATGATAAAGTCAGCCGAATGCTTAATTCAGTGTTTCTCAACCGTAGCAACTTGAAGATGTGTGGACTTCAACTCCCAGAATTCCCCA